TTGATCTATTTTAACTGTTTGGAGTACAGTGCTAGCGCTGATACTAGTGAACTGTTAAGTTAGTTGATGTCGAACAATGGGAATTGCTGATACGGAGATGTTTAATTTAATTTCAAAACTTAGGCGCAAATATCTATACAACTACATTCAAATGCGTCACAGAGGAAAAAAATAGCTAAAAGATAAAAAGATAAATCTGTTTTCATAATGTCTTATTCTTAAGAAGATTTCGTGAGCAATGCATGGTTTCTTGCGTCAAGCTGGCCTTTGGAACAGAAAAGTACAAGGTAAAGGTCGAAATCTTGAGGCACTCCAGGCCGAATTTGGCGGCGTTGTTCGCAAGACAGCGTAGAAATTGCTGACATTACTGGAAGCTGCTATTGAAAATTTCTGCTCCATCGAGCAATGGGGTTTTCTAATACAGAGATGGTGTTATCGTTGAGAAGTTTTCGTGGCCAATATTTTATTACGTCGGGTTGGCCTTGGGATCAAAAAAGTGCAAACTCAAGGTGAAAATCTCAAGAGAGTAGGAAAGGGCTTTTGCCTGACGTGTGACTGCCCCAAAATTAGCAGCGTGATGCGTGGTTGAGACCAAATTAACCGCATGACACGGGACAGGACATCATAACGTGATGCATGATTTACTATTTTACAAGCGCGTGATGCGTGATTTACCAATTAGATTTCCGTAATTAGTGAGCGTTCTTTGAACTAGAAGAATAGCATTTAGTCAAAGTAAATAGTAAATAGAGTCTGAAAAAGATATCTAAATCGTGGCAGACGTAACACCATTTTGTGGTCTTTTTCATCCTTTTCTTGACCTCTGATGTCTTTGATCTTCTTGGATTTTCATGCATGGTACTATGTGTCCAAACAATTCTGATACAAATTATAGGAATAAGTCAATTGAAAATAGCTAAGCTTTGCACAAAGACTATGAGCTCCAGTGTTATTTTTGTCCATTTTGTCGTCCGATCATTTTTGGCAGTGCATCAGACCAAGTGAATATGACAGACCATATCCGAATCCGGCTATCGTGTGAAAGGTCTGAAAGAATGTCGTCCAAAAGGGCTGAAACGATAACACACGTTAGAGTTTGGTGTCACTTTATGGCGAGAAGACTGTTGTGTAAGCAACGAGAGACTACACAAGGAAAACGTTTGTGTGTCACCTAATGAAGGTCGTCATGAAGACCTAACTGAATTCAAAAGCCACGTTATATCCTTTACAGACATAAAAACATTGCCGCAAGGAAGAGGATTTGCAGGAGTAAAACTTTGACACAAATATTGCCTGTACTCAAAGCATGGCAAAGGTGGCGTA